CGTTACAAGATGAATTAATTTCATATAATCGTAAGGAAATAATGTAATGAAAACATTTAAATTATTAACTGAGGTCAGCTAGAGTCATTAGTACATGAAGGAAACTAAACGATTGATTTATTCTAGTTTTAACATCTTTATCAGTTCATATTCAAATGGATCAATAGCAACTGGAAACAGCTGGAAAGTATTGCCCAGGACAGAGTTCGAAGGGGAGTGTTGGAGAGCGGCCTATGCTCCTCTACGAGGGGTAACAGGCGTAAGTAAGTAAGTATTATGTTATATTCAGCCAATATATATATATATATATATATATATATATATATGTATATGAATCAGAATTGCAATCAATCAATTGTTTTTTTAAAAATTATTTCTTCTTTCTATAGTTTTGAAAAAATGTCACTCCCGATTATTTTTTCATTAGTGGATTCATAAACATTATTTACTTGCGTGATTTGATGAACTGTTTTAAGTCTAGATAATGACTTTGTCAAGAATTGTCATCAGTTAGAGAATTATTGAGAACTATAGAGAACCGGAATAGTTGTTTCCCTTCATGATATGAAGATAGTAGGTTTGATTTAAAGCAAATTTGTCATTACAAGTTGTTGAATGCTTTCTAATTTACAAATGACATTTAAGTTGTAATAGAAGCAAAAGTTTGCTGCTTTAACGCGCAATCTAGTTTAATTTACTGATTTATCTTTCTTATTTCGGCCATTGTAATTGTGCCTTCTGGGGTTACTGCCGTTTCCAAGCTCAGATAGCGGGGGGATGGACAGGCATGGAGTTAGTAACCCGATCTTGTAAACAAAATTTGGCAAAAAGGAGCTAACGAAAATAAATCAGCATCAAACAGAATTCCGATATCGAGGTGACTTTAGAATTGTTCCACTTTCTCTTCAGAAACATTTGGGAGAAAAACAAGTACTAGTAGCCTGGAAATAAAGTTTACTTGTCATGATAATAAAGAAAAGAGATATCGGAAAGTATGAGAACTACAGAGACATCACAAGCCAGATCGATCGTGTACCAACTAAATAATGACTCTTTAAATCATTGTTGAGCAATCTGTTGAGTGGAACTCGTCGCTATGCTTCAGCCTCTATAGCGTGGATGAGAGAAAATTGTGCAGTTTTCTTTGATACTGTGAGGTGTTTGAGAAGATCGTTACCATCTTGCGAAACGCATACATGGGACTAAATTGTAAAGTTTCGCATTGAGAAGAGCTCACAAACTCACTCTAAATGAATACCGGTGTAATACAAAGCTGCCTACTTTTGCATATCCTTTTTCCCCTGGCTTTTGATTGATATATGAAGACCTCCACATCTCAGGGCAAACACTTTGTAAAGAGGACAGTTTGGATGCAAGCAGAATATTTGAACTCTGTAGATGGTCTAGCCCTTCTGTTTTACTCAATGCATCAAATACTGGTGAAAACAGCTAGTGTAACAACAGTAGGTTTAAACATTCACAAACGGAAAAGCATGATCCTAACGTACAACAAAGAGAGTACCGATATAATCACACCTGATGTAGTAGCTCTGATAGAAGTGAAAACTTTTTAATATTTAGGTATTATCATTGACAGATAAGAACTACTTGATGAAGGTGGAAAGGGATGGACTGGCAAAAATGGTAGCATTCCTACGACTAAAGAAATATAGAACACAAAATAATTGACAGACGGTACCAAGGTCACAATCTCAACACAAACTTCAACACAGTTCTGTTGTACGGAGATGAAAATTCGACAACTACTACAATCATCATCAAAATGGTGCACGTATTTGTTAACACATGTCTACGCAACATACTCCAGGTCCATTGGTCAGACATCATTTGTCATAATCAACTGTAGTGGACAATAAATCAGATTCTGGATGTAGAGGAAATTGGGAAAGTTCAATATAGGTGGATAGGACAAATGTTTCAGAAATCGTCAAACCCTGCTACAAAACAAGCCCTGAATCGGGATTCTGAAGACGAAAGGAAAGAAGGTAGATGAAAAAAAAGCATTCTATCGGGAATTGGCGACAAATATTAAAAGTGTCAGAAGGGGTTTTGTGGAGATTGTAGTAATTTCAACAGTTGAGATCATGAGTCAATTGAAGTTAGACCACCATGGAAAACCTGGAAGCACTGGACGGCCGTTTCGTCCTATTGTGGGACTTCTGAGCAGTGCGCATCCACGACTTTGCTCAGTGGTCTAGTTGGTTAAGCGCCTGGCGCGGAACGGATAGGTCCTGGGTTCGAACCTCGCCAGGTGGGGTCGTGGATGCGCACTGTTGAGGAGTCCCACAATAGGACGAGACAGCCGTCCAGTGCTCCCGGGTTTTCCATGGTGGTCTAGCTCCAATTGACTCATGATCTCAACTGTTGAAATATTAAAAGGGTGAATCGTACTTGGAAACAACTGGAAAGGAAAGCGGGGGACACAGTAGGTTAGAGTTTGCTGGTCGATGTCCAATTCTCTAAGAAGAGTAAGTATAGACTTATAGCCGTTAGGCCTGGTTTTGAAGTCATTGGAAACAATTGTTCGCTCTGATATTTCTGACTTGAAGATAGTATGAATTTTGCATTAAATGTTCCATGCAGTTTGTCCCCTTGACAATATTCCCAGAATATTATGAAATCATTTCACTACATTATTTTCACTTCAGTAAAATACATGCGAATGAGATAAGTTATTTCTAATCATTAACATTGGTTAGAATTCCAAAACCGAATTGTTCATCAATAAAGTACAGTTGTTTATAATGTAAATGAAATTAGCAACTAAAGTTTTCACAGAATTTTTATAATTTCTTTTAGTGGTAGTACTAGAATATTCAAGAAAGTCTTGCTACGTACCGTAACAAGATCTCTTTAGCATTTATGAAAGAAGATACAAACACGTAATTTAAACTTGCTAAGTTGAAATTCTGATTAAATAAAAAAATATCTATTTACATTTGTTTCCAAGGCAGTTGTACACTAACCGTTAACTCATTTTAAAAACAAATTTCCTATTAAAACACATTTGTTTCCATAACTTCTTTGAATTCTAACGATGGAGGTTTGGACTGCTTGTGGACCATTTTGAGTAACTTCATTGTATCCATTTGAAATACCTTATTAGTGAGTGGCGTACTATGGAACCAGAAAGAATGTTTTGCCTTTAGAGACATAAGGCCTTAGTAACATTTTTTGTTTAAATTGTTTGTTGTGTTATATTAATGGTGTGATAAGACGTGATTAACAGATTTTTGATAGATGCATTGTAGGAGATTGACTTGTGGAATCATTCAAGTCCGCAGTAATACAAAAACTCTTCAATGATATGAATTGACGTTATTGCCACATCACATATAGACTTAACTGGAACCATAGGTTACTAGATCTTGTCTTGGTGGGCCAACGATGTTATGGCTATGTTGTATATTTGAGTCGTGCATTTGACTCTACGTAGAGTGTTCTGAGAGGTACAGTACTAAAAATACCGAACTAAGCAGTCGTCCACATCTCAGTTTTGTTAATGACCATTTAACTGACATCAGTTTGCAATAAATAATAAACTTCAAAACAACATTTATAAGTAGTATTGTTGCTTTCCATCAAATGTAATCCTCTAGTAACAGCTTCGTATTCTAGGTTGGTAGGAAATTTCAGCCAAATTTGTTAAAATGACCAATTATTGAAATTAAGTAGTAATGAATACAAATTGACCACCGTTCAGTACTACTCCATTAGATTTCTGAAACTTTAAGAAACAAATGGCTACAACACGTGACTTTTTTTATTGACAGAAACACCATTGCTCACAACTTGACTTATACTTGTCATTGTAGTCTTATTACTTCCCAAGCTTTGTTTCTCAAGGACAGAGCCTTTGTGATCAGTTTAAATGTTGAGCTAAATGAAATTTCGAGGGGTAAATGATTAATAATACGGAAAAAATTACTTATTTAACTAAGAACTCAACAAAATCAATTTAGTCAACAATATCAACCCTAAGAATAAACGGTTCACGGCTGCTTATTTAATAGATGGTGGAAATGAAAAGTTTTCTACTTGTAAAGTTTAAAAAATATTCAATATATAATGTCAATATCATTTCTATCATCGAAATGTATTTTGAAAGAATACATAAAGGTGGAAGTGAATCACTTTACCAATAAAAACCAAGCTGATTTAGAATGTTTTCTATTCCTAAATTAAACAGGAAACTTGGAGATCTTGGTTGAGATCCAATTTTATGGCATATTTAGAAATGAATAACATTCACAAGTAACTATCTAAAATTATTATCCGAAATGAAAGAATATTGGTTGTATAATGTTTGTATTTGAGATGTTTGTCACTTAAAATTTCAAACCTCCCATAGATTTTCATTGTAGTATATATCGTAATTAATCCTGAAATTGGTGTAGTCTGATGTAAGCTATTGAATGTTCTACCTGAACTAAGAAATGATACTTATTTTGTAAGTTGACGAAGATGGTGAACATTATGGCATGTCAAACAGTGTCCGAGGGCGTTTATCAAATGGTGAGTAGGCGAATATTGATAATTAATCGATAAATAATATTACTTACTTTAGATTGGTTCATTATAACCGAATAATTAATGTCAATTAGCCTTAGTCTACTATTATTGGTTTAAGTAATTGTTTTCTGTTCAAATTATGTAGCAATCAAATTTTGTTAATTTACTTACGCCCACATGTGTTGTCTTAGTCGACGACACTTTAAAGTTGATCATTACTTGAATGCTGCCACCCTGCAAGTAGTTGAGTGATACGAAACCGTTAATGACATTGATTTAACCAACCATAATGTAATTAACTAATTTAAACAAAAATAAAGGATTATCATTGGTTAAATGTTCAATAAAAACTAATATAATGTCCATCACAGTATTTTGAACAAAAATATTTTTTATTTGAAAAATTCAAACAAAAAAAAACAAATCAGAATATATTTGAAAACATCATTTGTATAAGTAATCAAAATATGAATCTACAAGAAGTGGAAGCATCATATAATGAAATAACCTCATCAGCATTGAAACTTATCATGGAGATTTCAATCAATAAACTGAAGAATTTTCAAAGTACTTTACAGCCATCGACAGGACCACTTATAAGATCAATAGAGAATAAAAATAATTTATTAATGGATAACTCCAATAGATCAACTACAATTGATTCATCTCAACATATCTCTTTCAAAAAAACATCTAATAGTTTTTCACCAAGTAATCGGTTGTACAGGATAATGGTAATTTTAAAAATTGCTAAAAAAGCAAGATCTGTGTTATTAAACCGAGAAGCACTTAATACACCACAAACGGATAATAAATCAGTTGATGTACAAAACATTTCCTCTTCCGAAAACGACTCAAACAATCATTCATATAACACACAGCAATGTGATCCTGTGAAACAACCTAGAACACCAAATCTGAGTTCAATTCAGACAAAAACGCATTCAGAATTACGAGTTTTACATTCAAACAAACAAAATGAACAAGTGTATCAATGTGTCTATGATTCTGTTCCAAATAACTCTTCAGTATGCACTAGCAATAAAAGAGCACTTGATTCTAATCCATCTACTTCGATACCTGAAAAACGTGCATTTTTAAATTTTCGAAGTGAAAATCCTATGAAATGTGATAAATCATCACATCAAGATACATTAAATGTAATGTATAGTTTAACTACTCCATACAATACAGGGAATATGGAAAATAGTCAAATTAAACCAAAATTTAACCAACATAACGATAACGATGATGAATATGACGATCCTAATGATAATGTCATTATGTATTCAAAATCTTATCCCTTGTGCAAATGTCGATTATCAATCCAAAATTCTGAAGTATGTGGTTTAGGAAATGGTCTAATCGCATCAAATGAAGTATTATTATCAAGTACTTCTCTTCAACAAATGAATCATTCAATGGATTATGAAGAAATTAGTAATGATTATGGACGAGATATGTGTATATGTCTTTCCAATTCACCAAATTCACGACCATTGATTACTGGAATAATATGAAACAATACATACAATAATAATTATCCTCTAGGCGATAAAATATTTTATTTAATGTATATGGTAAATTATTATAAACGACTGTGATATAAAGTCATATTAACATTAACATCAATATATATATATAGTTTACATGTGATTGTACATAAATTATGAGCACATCAATCAATCTCAGGGCTTAAACTATTCACATTCAATCGCCTTATGGTTATTCACATGGCCATGCATACAAAAAAGAAACTATAAATTGAAATTCTCCTGTCGTTATATTCTTCGAAATGAAAATCCATTTTTCTCCTTCATGATTTTTTTTTCAATTTAATTACAAGGAAGAACGATAAATAGGAATAATTCAACGGTGATCTATCTGTGATCAATTCACTCTAAAGTCTATTTGTTTAAATTATTTGAATTTTAGAATGTAAAGCAAAATACTGTAATATATAAATATCTGTTTTGCTCTTAAATTTATACATTTATTATTTGTATTTAATGGAAGGCAAGATTTATTAGTTTAACCAATGTTAACATTTAGAAAGAGTTAAAATGACTGTTCAGTATGATTTGTAGACAACCATATTCAGTTTATGTATGAATAATGACATCTGCAAATGTTTGCTAAGATATATCTAGTCAACATGCTAGTTGTTTTAAATAATTAAATACTTTAAATAATTTCATATTTTAACCGAGCAATTTATGTGTACTTTTATAGCTTCAGATAAATCTAGTCTGTTTCTGATTGCACCTATTCGCCTAATAATTATGGTAGACCCTAGATGTGGAAATATAACAAAAACTAAATATCAGTATAAGGTTGTGGAGATTGTTGACTTTAAATTGATGTCAAGAGAGGGTCAATGTTAGACCACCATTGAAAACCTGGAAGCACTTGATGATACTGGTCTAACACGGATCTATTCATAATATCAATCTAAATTCAACAATCTACACAACCCTATACTGATAATCATCATGTGCTCATTAGTGACTAGTATCAAGATGAATCTCATGGAGTTTTAGTGAGAAGTCGTTACCAGTGGATTTCAGCCGTGTCTGTAGAGGCAGTTAGTCACCGAAGACAATGTTGAACGGTCACGCAATACCATAGGTTGGTTGAAAGTAGACATTGACGCCGTCAGATGCCATCTCAGTGGCGTTCGCGTGCAACACCAAAGGTCCTGTGCTCGAGTCCCGTGTATGAGGCATGGGCCCGCACTTCTGAGGTGTCCTATACCTGGACAGGACTGCCGTCCACTGCGTCCGGGCTTCAAATATTGGTCTAACGTCGATCCATTCATGATATCAATACAAGCTAAATACTTCAGTAGTCAATATTTTATCAATTTAATGATTCACCTGAATAACCATTTTCAGAATATTATTTCTATAGAAACTAATCAGCTGTTTAGATGAGATCCATAGTTTTTTTTCAAAATTAACACTGACCACGTGATTAACTGGCATTAAGAATAAAACTGAATTGAATATTAATTTCAAACTTTAGCATACTGAATTTTCCAAAACTATCTGTGTATAAATTGTAGTGCTTTGGTTAGTATACTATACTAAGATGAATGAATATACTTCATGAAGTAAATAAAAATGCCTCACATAACTATTATGGTCACATTTGATTTTAAAATGTCACATGATGTCAGCTGATCGATTTGTGTACAAACAACAGGTAGTTCAGTAAGAAAATAACAATAGCTAACTGACCCAATTTCGGAACTAAGAATTAATGTAGTATTCAAATAATTGTGGAATATGATACATAATGTTCCCATTATCATATTGAAGGAAGTAAGAAGAAACATTTAGGCAGAATAACATTAATTCAATTTATTTTATTGAGTTCTCGTCAACTGCTTACAACCTATAATGTGTAAAAATAAAATATTGTACGAAAGAATATTCCACAATATTGATAATAGCAGAATACTAAAGAATTACAAGCAAGTGGTTAGGTGATGAACAAATGTTAATAGTAAGTAAGAAAAAAATGAATAGGTCTCTATTAGTTTATTTAGGTGTTTGTTATCGAGCTTCAGAAATGTAGTTAATGCGTTCAAAAGATGGTTGCTAATCTTTCTCTACCTTGGTGACAAAAACGTCTCTTTGTTACATCATGAAATTTTTTTCACTTAGCATTGTTTGTTTAAATCTTCCCATTGATGTTTAGGACCGCAATCGTTCAGTCTCTTATTGACATATGTGCATCCTGTGAGGATTGCCTTAATATTACCTAAGTCACAACCAATATAAGCAAAAATGGATGGTGGCTAGCAGTGGAACCCAGGACACACGTTTCGTCCTAGTTGGCACTCGTCAGCTGGATGTACTTGCATCCTAGATCTGATGTTTACTCCGGGACTCGAACTCAGTACCGTTCGCTTCAAACGCAATCACGTTATCTACTTAGCTGCTGAGTTCTGGTATCCACTTGAAATTTTGTTCAACTCTTTCAATTGATTGTAATGCTACATCCATTTTAAACTCTTCTAGATTAACAATTTTATTTTAACTAATTTAGCCTTACTTATTCTATCCTTATTTACTACTATCATTTGTTCATTACCTAACCATTTGCTAGTAATTCCTTACTATTTTGTCATTATTATTATTGACTTTATTCAATGTTATATTTCTGGTAAAATGTAGAATTCTCAGCATAAATTATTTCAACAAGTTCCCTTTTTTATTTCTAAATCGATCCATGAAATAAATATTGAATGGTCGCCAGTTAGATATTAGCAGTTCGGGAATCGACTTTTGAATAATATACATTCTTTTCTATGCATATTGCCAGCAACCACAATGTCTGTGAATGGGTACTTTTGTAACTTGTACAGCGAAATATCGTAAACATGTTACAAACGCTCTTGAATAGGTTATGCGACTAATGGGCATAATGATGTGTTAAAACAAACAAAAAACCAGATAACTTGTTGAAATATCCAAATATCAGGGACAAGTAGCCCAGATATTCAAACACGACGCCTGGAATTATTATCAATATTGTGGAATGTCCTTCCGTTTAATATTCCACTTATTCTCTTCAAGCGATTTACATTCTTGTTATACTATACTATTCCATGTTCATAACACCTTCCAACTAAACTCATTTATTCAAGTTATTTCAACTCATTCTGTCATTTTAATTTTAACATATTACAGATTGTAAACAGTTGATGGAGAATTCAATCAATTAAACTGAATTCATATTATTCTTTACTGAAATCCTGATTCTTGTTTTCATCAATTATATTATCTTCAAATCGATAGATTTAAAATTTATTTCTTATTCATTACAAATCAAAACAAAAAGAAAACTTTAAAGAAAATCTAATGAATAGCCAATAGAATTTCATTGTCATTCATTAGGATTATTCCATAGATAACAAATTGTATTATTACACTATGAAATATCAAAATAAAATCTAATCCTATTAACATATAGTAATATTTTATTAGTGAATCTTCATAATAATGAAAATAATAATCACAACTTCCTACTTGTAGATTAGATTCTAATTAATGTCCTAAATCTATGCTGGTTTAAGTCATAGAAACAATAATCCAATTGGTTAATTTAATTAATTTGATAAAAATTATTTAATATCAATGGTTAAGATCATGAATCAGTTGAAGCTAGAACACCAATAGTTGAAATCATGCGGATTGCTAAGGAGTCCCACAATAGGACAAAACGGCCGTCCAGTGCTTCCACGTATCCCATGGTGGTCTAACTTCAATTGACTCATGATCTCAACTATTGAAATTTATTTACTCCAATTTATTCAGTTAAAAAAAAAAAATAACTAATTATCTTGATAATATTGTTTAGTTATCTTTTATCTGAAAATGATTATATGTATGAGATGGTGAAGAAGATTTGTAGCTCAAGTGGATTGTTTTTCATGCTTACAATAACAATGAATAAATAGTATATTTTTATCAGATATGAAATATATTGATAATTAATGTTGGTTATTATAATTATCCTTGATGTTGCATATTGTAAATACTTATGGAATCGATATTTTTATTATATCTAATACAAATTAAATATTATTTGCAATTGAACATAATTCGCACAGATCTACATTATCTGGAACACCATTTCGGATATGGGACAAAGCGTTATACGTATTCCATTTTAATTTACGGATCTACAACAGTATTCTTTGATCATATTAAAACTTTGAGGTATCATAAGCGATATAACTTGTAGATCCACTATCCACCTCTTCAGTTGATTCGTGGTATACAGGATTTCTTATTAAATGGTACAAATGAGTAACTGCTTCATCCACTACGTTGTTGAATCAATAAGAAACAAAATTTATATATTTTAAATTATCGTGTTTTTCACAGATATAAAAGTCTTTGACTTAATATTGTGTAGTATCATGCGGGGACATCACTATATGGCCTCTTTACTGAAACGTTACTAATATCAGATGAAATATTAGAGAAACTGAAAAGATTTTCTATAAGTGTTCAGTTCTATACAATTCATATTGCCAAACACATAATGTACATACATCTAAACTATTAATTCTTATTGCTCATTAAAATTAAGGTTTTACATAAAATTGATAGGATAATGCATTCATTTTATGAATGTTCACTCGTCTCTATTATTCATATTCTATAATTCAAAAAAACTGATGACCGAAACTTCTTCTTTAAATGTCAACTCCACTAAAGATATAAACTTATAGTTGTATACTTTGACAAATTTCAAAGAACATTTTATATCTCTTATATTCAAGAAATCATTGGTTTGTAATTAATTAACTGATCAGTAGTGTTGCAATCACAATGTAGATTATACTCTTATTATTCCATTTATTTCAATTGTTTTAGTTGAGGATATTTCATTTTGTCCAATGAAATAATGATTTTTTTATAACTAGAAAGAGTATGAATATGTTATTATTATTATTATTTGAATACCTGACAACGTTTTCGAGAAATTTATTCAGCATCCACAT